AAAAAAAAAAAAAACAGAATAACTACCTCTTCTGTAAATGCCACGCACTAGACGGACCAAGACTAGAACACTTTGATTTCCCCGTTGGGTAAAATATTTATCTATACATATACTTATACATATGCTTTATAAAATTTTGATCCCCTACCCACGGTGGACAGTGCCTACCACTTTATTTTACATGAAAAACGTATTCTCAGAATACGTTTTTCATGTAAAATAAAGTGGTGGGCCGTGGACAGTGAACAGAACTGATGTTTTATATTTCATAAATGATCATTTTCATCATGTACATTCATGCCAGAGGAGTTAACATTCAATGTTTTATTTTTTTATATTACCTTGAAATATAATACTTTGTATACCACAATAAAAAAATGGGACAACTTTTTTTTTTTTTTTTTTTTTTTTTTTTTTTGAAAAATAGCTCATACAGTGACAACTTAGGTTGTGTTTAGCAACCATATAAACTAACTTATAGTTTATACATTAGAACATATTTGATTAGTTATAAACTTACTGTATTCAAATAAACTCGATTTGGTAGGACGAATTCTTTTTAAAAAAAAAAAAACTCGATTTTACCTTAAGCTTCATTTAGGTACCTCTTTAAATAACCTCATTGAAATTTTAGTTCAACTAACTTATTAGCTAATTTTATCAAACACTTTTATATATAAGCTAGGTTTTTTTTTTTTTTTTTGGTTGCTATAAGTCATAAGTTATCAGTTATAAGCTTGAAATTCACTTAAAAGGTATAAACTAACTTATAAGATAGATTTACCAAACATAACAAGTGTGTTTGATAACCGACATAAGCTAACTTATAACTTATTTAGTTAGCTTAAACTTCTATGTACAAATAATCTTGGTTTTGGTAAAAAACCTTGAGCTGAACTCGTAAGCTTCTTTTAACAGTTTTTAAAATGTGTCCATTTTTATTTCAACTGGCTTATCACCCAATTTTACAAGTATTTTTGTCACATCAGCTATAAGCTACCAATTATAGTTTTTCAACTAGTTTTACCAAACATAACCTAATATGAATTTCGGTAATATTTAGTAAAACTAATGCTTAATTAATCTTTTTTTTTTAATCAGAGACTTAGAAAATTTTGTAGATATACATTAATAATAATATAAAAAATGTTATGTATTATAACAAAAATTATTAAAAAAAATATAATAAGTCGACCCACTTATCGATAGACTATTTCACCCAATTATTAATTTGGGTAAATTTAAGTAAAGAGACAACCCGACCCGTCTAATATATGAACCGGGCCACTTTAAACCCTGATGAATAAAGGACACCCAGCAGAAATAAGGGCAAGAAAAACCCCTAATTCAGAACAGGTTTGCTTTGCTTCGCCTTCTCCGGAAAACGACTATGGTAATTTTCCCGATGTAAATTGTTTTATGTAAAATCCCATGATCCACATGGCCAATGATCTATTTTAGGGTTTTTTTTTTTTTTTTTTTAATTCGAACCAATTCAAGCCATTAAACAATTGTGTGATTTCTTCTGACATTGTGATTGATTTTGTTTCTGTGTTTTGCATACTATATGATCTTCGTCTTATCTAAGCTGCACGGCTCTGGATTCCACATTGGGCTGCGTTTTCTCCTAATTTTGTTACTGTAAAAGTCAATTTTCTGATTTGAGGTCTAATAATTATGATAATTTCATGCATCGAGTTTTGTATTCGTCAATTTTCTGATTTGAGCTCTAATTGATATCTTAACTCTGATAATTTTATGCATCGAGTTGTGTATTTAGTGAGAATGTTTTTCACTGTAACGAAAATCTCAGGGATTGGCTAGTGGGTCTTTGTTTCGTGTGCTCGTGTCCCTGCTCATATGTTAATTTGTATGGCTCATGTGCATTTTCTGTCTGCATAGTGAAATAGCTTAGAAATTGCACATATAGTTCGTGAATAAAATGATAAATCGTTTGTTTTCTTCAAATAAAACATTGTTGAAGTTTTATTGTAGGTACGTTTACAACCTGATCCTTTTCTCAATGAGCTCACCAGCATGTTCGAACGGACTACAGAAAAGGGTTCTGTGTGGGTTACGTTAAAACACTGTGAGTTTTTTTTTTTTTTTTCCCTACCTGTATCAATTTTCTTGATAAGTGTTTGAATCATATGCTTAGAATAGACGATTTTTATACTTGATGCCATGTTCTGTTAAAATTTGAAAAAGTTTGGTTACTTCATGTCAAGCATCTGACAAGTCCAAGGTGAAAAGAAATAAGATGAAGACAGCTGGTGAGAAGATCGAGTACAAGTGCCTCATTCGAGCTACAGATGGGAAAAAGATCATCTCGACCATGGTATAAATTCCTGCACACCGCTACATATTATGATTTTCTTTTCTATATGCGACTCATTCTATGGAGAATGGCAAAGAAGTCAGAACTGTAGAAAGTGAAAAATGCTTAAATCTTAACTGCTAATTAATGAATGCATTGTTGTTAATGTAATGACTCTGTGATGTGCCACTTTCGTTTGCTATTATGAGGCAGGTATATTGTGGGTACATATATATAAGAATAAAGCTATGTTGACATAATGCTTTGACATAAAGGATGACCAAATTTATGTTTATGAGCGATGGGATGTGTAAAGTAATAAGGTTGTGACACATGTCATTATGTCTTAACTGTATATCATCCTTTATGTTAGCTGTAGCACGATTCTATGTATAATATTAGTTTACGCTACTAGTTATTACATACACTATACAAGAGTGACTGTTGAATTATTCTCATTCTTAGTTTTTGTTCTAATTCAAACTCTGGAGACACTTGTAATTCCCATATAAGAATTTGCCAAGGCATGAAATGATTCATTCATAAGGCATATCCAGCATCTCATTATGCCGTTAGAAATTGGTTGAAGACAATTTGTGTTCTGTTACTCTATCCCACATGTTTAAGTACCCGCTGTCCAGCATACTGGTTTATAGTGAATTACTCACTTATCTTCTTTTTTTTTTCCATGACATAAAATGTCTTTTCCTTTTACCTATATAAGCTGTTTGAAGATGTCCCCAGGAGATGGCATATCGATTCTTCTGCTTTTATTTGTAATAAATATCTCAACTTGGAACAAATCTTTGACACCTATATCCTTAAAAGCACACTCGATATTTAAACTATAATGTATTGATGTTTCAGTTGAAATATGTGAAGAAAATCAGGCTCTTTTTTCATTTTTCATTTCTTTTCGTTTTTATTTTTTCCTGGTTCTGATTTCGGTTAAACCTGCATAGCAATTTGCTTCGTTATCAGGACTCCTGGAAAATGATTTGTGGATCCAAGTGCACGCTTGCTCATTATTTATTTACCCTTTTTTAAGTATTTACTATTTTTCTTAGTTAAGCGGACACTGTTGTTTATATCCGACTTTTGTTGAACAAAACCTGGTTTGGCTGGAATAACAGGTTGGCCCGAAAGATCATCAACGTTTTCAATCTAGTTAT